CGAATGCATATCTTATATATGGCTAATCTGGCTTCTGGAGTGTAAAAGTTGCGTAGCACAAAGCCGGTTAGACGTTTACAATCAGATACCACCTTATTTGCATGTTCAGTAAAGGTAAGATCTGAGTATGTTATCCCGAGATCTGTGACTGTGTTCGTGTTTGAGACAAGGTCACCGTACATGTATAGACACATGCTAGGTTTCCAACGTCCGAAGTATGTTATCCCAGATTTAGCTGGATTGAACGTTAACTGCCACTTTTCACTCCAATTACATAGACTATTTAGGTCTTCTTGGATTTTACTAACAATATTCATATCATTATAGTCGAAATCATAGACAACTTTGAGGTCATCTGCAAAGAGGTATGGCTTGCCATACTTGATCATAGAGACAATATCATTTATGAATACAATGAATAGGGTAGGGCCAAGAACACTACCTTGTATCACGCCGCTGGTTATCGGTTTGGATGTTGATAAGTGATGGTTGACTTTAACTAACTGTTCTCCTCCTGTAAGAAAGGAAGTTATCCACTCAAGAAGCCTTCCACTTATTCCATAAGATAGGAGTTTCAGTATGAGTCTGTTATGTGGGACTTTATCAAAAGCTTTCCTAACATCTAGAAATAATGTTGCTGCCGAACGACCTTTGTCTACACATTCAGTAATGTGGTCGAAATAATCTAACTGGCAAGTAATGCACGATCTTCTATTTAAAAAACCGTATTGGAAAAGGGATATTAAGTCATTCGAGAGCAAATACTGAACAATTTGCTTCTTTACAATCTTTTCCATCACACGTGAAACTACGGAAGTAATGTTGATGGGGCGGTAATTATCTATGTCCGCTGTAGGTCCGGTTTTGTGAATGGGTACAACGTAGGATTTCTTCCAGCTATTTGGATATGTTCCACTCCTTATCGAAGTTGAAAATATCTTGAGAAGAAGTAGATTCATGTCATTTCCACCATTTTTTAAGAGGACGGAAGACATTCCATCTGGGCCGAGAGTATTAGTAAGCTTAAGAGTTGTGATAGCTTTATCGATTTCTTGGGCGTTTAAGACTACATCGCTTAAACACTTCTGTTTTACGAGGGAAATCTATATCCTGGTCATTTTCTAGAGTGTACAGTTTGGCAAAGTGCGTGCTAAACACCTCACATATATCCTCAGCACTTTCGTGAGTAATGCCACCTAGGTGTATTATTTTTGGATATGTTGATTTGGAGTTAGTTAACCTACTTTTGAAGAGTTTGGCTATTTCTCTAGTGTTATGTGGCGACTGAATTGCCCGCGTTTCTTTATTCCTAAGACTTAGATTTTTTAACTCATGGATTCTAATGAGGATTGTTTTGATAGCGATTAACGACGATAAGTCGTCATGTCTGTAATAACTTAATGAATGCTTCCGCAAACTTCTTCTTAATGATATTGGAATAAAATCACCTTGAGGGATTTTGAATTTAATCAGTTTCACAGGCGCTATGACATCATTAACCGACTGTATATTGTCATAGAAGTTTTTGGAGACCTCCTCTAAGGAGTCATTGGTAAAGTAGGAATCCAAATTAGAGTATCTAATCAAGTCCTGATACAAGTCCCAATCAACTACGTGTATAGACTTATAGGTGTTCGACTAACTTCGTTTTTGTGTATAGTTTCTGGAGAAATATTAAACAAACATGCAACTATTTTATGATCGCTACCTGGGAATTCATGTCCCACATGAATTGTAGATGGTGCTACGTTGATCGTGAATATAAGATCAAGAATGTTATTGGACCTAGTGGGCACATTTATGTGTTGCGTCCATCCTCCTGTAATGATGGAATTAAGAAGATTATCATACCTCAAGGGCCCTCGAAGTGTACGCCATAATCTATCGGGCAAATTAAAGTCACCTCCAATTATATTATAACTGAAGGGAAGATTGGATGTAACATTAAATATATCGCTGAGTACGTTATCGTATTCGCGGTTGGAGAACGCTAGATTACTCTAATATCTTATAAGGCTATCTACGATTAAGTAAGGCCTGCCTAGGTATCGTCAATTAGCTTCAGTAGTAAAGTCTAGATAGCTGCCGCCGCTGCTGACCCGATCAAATATTTCAGTGTTAAGCTGAAGAAAAGATATCGCATGATATAATGCGCGACTAATAATTTAAAGAGTAGTCCAACTGTAAAATAATTTAATTCATGAATTTAGCAACAGAAGACGAATTTCGGGTCGTCAGGATATAAGAATCGTTTACTTGAGGTGAAGCAGCTATAACTGTTGGTAATGAAGGTGTTAATGAAGGTGAAACAATAGATTCCCCTCTGCGACACAACCTTTGCGATAATTATGGGTAATTATCTTTACAATACTGGTCAGGTACCATTAATTTCTTCGTGGAGGCAGTAGATCCGGACAGTTTTTGAAATAACAAATATATGCGTTGAGATTTATTTTAAATTAAACTCATTCAGATGATGGCAGTTTTCATCTTCTACTTGCTCAGACTCTCATTTATTGCAATTTTTCTACACACTGGTCTTCAGGCACTGGGGGGCCTATTATCACCTCAAACTCGTGGGGAGTATGAAGTATAGGCTCCCGTATCTACTTAAAATCCTACAAGGTAACCTGAAACACGCACCTCTATACCCGTTTGTTTCATACTTTTTGCTGTACTGGTGACGGTAGTGCTCCAGTCAACAAAACCATGGCTCAGAATCAATGCAATGAAATCCAGGCAATCTAGCTTTGGTGGTTACTAAAATGTCCACTTCTTTAGAAGTGGAGCTGAGAAAAATCAGTTTCCAGGGCGAAGATTAAATCTGCTTTTTATGTTTATATATTTTTCCACCTAATATCGGTTTTAGAATTCATTCCCAAAGGAGCAAGGTGGCTATCTGTCATGGTGAAAATGGAAAATCTGGAATTAGTTTTAAGTTTATGTATTCAAGCTATCAATATTTTTCATGTCTTGATCGTTAAATTGCCTAAAAGTGTTTTAATATGTCATATGAATTATTGTTGGAGAAACAACAACAATAAAAATGTTTTAACATATCTGTATTTTCATCAAAAATGTCACAGTTTCCATGGTAAGTCCATTATGGTTAGCATTACACTACTATTCAGATACTATCATGTCTTGTAACTGTACTTCCAATGATGTATTATCCATAATTGCATTTCACACCTTTTTAAAGCTGCACAGGACGTTCTTCTCTTCTTGAGATAGCTTTGAATCACGTGAGAGCATAGCACTTACCCAAATATACGCCGTTCACTGGTTGGCCATAAATATCAGCTTGAAAAGGAAAGAAGTTTGGGTTGGCGCTCAACCTTCATGGTGACCTTAGTAAAGGGTTCACAATTTAGCATTTAATCGAACTTGTTCTGATTGTTTGTACAATAATCGAACAATTTAAATCTTTGCGAAAGTGTTAATTTATGATACTACACGATAGTAATGTATAACATAACTCATCGTGCCCGTAAAATTGACATGTATTTCTTGTAAAATTCCCTAATTATGCGAAATATAAATTATTACTATGAGCATATATAAATATAAAATATAAATATATACGTAGATATAAAATATAAATACTACTCTGAGTGAAGAAACACTGCTTATTTGACTAAAGCTTCCAACATTTGGTTATTGAGTAGCATCAATGGAGAGTCTTGCGAAGATTGCATTGAAATGCATGCTACTTCCGGTGATGACACGGTTGAAGAAGTCAAAAGATGTGCTCAGTTTTGCAGATGAGTGAAGCCAGATCATAGGTATCATTAATAAGATAAATAACGTGCAATGGGCTTAACATCCCTAACATTATCCGATTACAAAAGAAATATATAAGAGAAGGAAATGGAGTATGTAAATGTAGTAAGAGATTGAACGATCAATTCATGGTTGTTTGCTCAAACCCAACTCCATATTTTTCGCGGGAGTCATCATTCCAGCAGTCATCGTCTCATCGTTCGCTGTTCAGTGGAAGACAGAAAACTATCAGACGTATTATTGTGATTTATTGCTATAACATTTATTCTCAGACCTTGTGTGTAATAACTTTGTTGTTGGTAACATATTGGCGTAAGAATAAAGGATTCTCGAGCCGCCAATCTGTGTTCTGTTTTTCGCGTTGGTTATTAAAATTCTCTGGACAAGTGTTATCTGGATTGTTTGGTCAAGTTCAGTAATGCCTGGGTCAAGGAAGGGACAAAGCGTTTTTGAAGCAGACAGGAAAGTAAGTAATGCTGAGTCGCCTGTTATATGTAATGATGTGTGTGATGTTAAACATGATAAGATTGATGTCCATGTTTCGCCATCTAGGGATAACAGGAATATTCAGCTTCCTAAATTTGAACCTCGGTGTTTCGACGGAAACCCAGCTGACTATTTACAGTTTGTAAAAGATGTTTGAAGTCATGTTGAGTAGTAATTTATTAAATGATAAAATGAAGTTGATGTATTTGTTGAGGTACCGCACTGAGGTTGCTGCAAGAGCTATACAGTGCTGTAAGACTATGCCGCCCAAACGAAGGATATACTGAGGCGATGATTATCCCGCATCAGAGGTTTGGAAGACCTTCGATGATTGTAAGGAACGTATTCGACGCTGTTAGAGGTAATGGAAGTTAACTACGAGATGACTCCAAGGCACTCTCTGAGTTTTTGGATAATCTGTTGACTCACAAGAACGCATTGATTTCGATGAATTGCATGAGCGATCTGAACTCAAGTTCCGTCCTAGAACTAATAGCGAGACGTCTACTTACTCGACTGCAAAGGAAGTAGGTGAAGATAAGCTCTCGCATAGAGGATGAAGGAATTGGGCCAAAGTTCGATGATATTCTGAAACCGGTAAAAGATGGTGTCAATCATTCTATGAGCAAGTTTGCAAGTATATTGCATCCCACTCCATAGAATAGAGAGAGAGCAAAACGCAATCAGTCACGACCAAAGGGACTCAGGGAAGTGGATATCGAGAGAGCTTTATGGTGTCTAGTAATCCATACAAACCTGATGAGTGTAACAGCATTCGTGGGACATCCCCAGCAGATAGGTTACAAGTTGCGAGACGAACACGGTTGTGTTTTTCACGTTTGCAAGAAGTGCATACAAAGGTGAACTGTGAATCAGTGAGCACGTTTAGTAGTAATCTAAATGTGAAACCAGCGTCATCTAGGTCTGACCACGAATTGTGTGACTATATTTGTGTTGTGAATATGTCTGTAGTTGCGGCCGGTAAGCCATTGTTGAATGAAGTGTCACAAACGGCAGCCCAGTTTGTGCAGAAGAAGAGAGTTACAGTTTCAGAGTCTGGTTCTGACGCCAGAAGTTCACAAGGCATTACTGGTCAGAGTAAAGGCATAAAACCTTTAAGGACTTGTGGGGAAGAACCCAAATTGTCTACTGCTGTTATTAAAGAGTTTGAAAATGATGAAGTCAATCATACAAACGGTGGTAAAGTGGATATTTGTGACAATGACCATTGTAGTGCACATTTGTCTTTGGCTGATCATGGTGAGATGAACGGAATGTCTACTACTACTGAGTTGAACAAAGGTTCTGTGCAACTTGAACGTGGAGTAGAATTAAGAGCAGATGCGATGGCAGAAGGTGTGGATACTCATGAGACCGTTAGAGTAAATGATCAGCGTGTAGCCCACCTATCGACAGATGTTAATGCTAAACTGGAGCCAACGATAAAAATAGCAACGTTCTGAAGCCCGAACAACAATAGCTTCTGATGCTCCGCTAAGTTCATCAACTTGTGTCGCACAGTCGTCGTCGGTGTTGTCGTCCACAATGAAAGGGACGTCCATGAACTCAGGTGTCTTATGCTTTGACTATGCTAGTGTCAGTCCGTTTGAAAGGACGAATGTCAATGTTCAGTTTAGTGAGGATAGGCCAACTGTGTCTGACAGTGTAATTGTTGAACTAACTTGCACGAATAAAGGCATTTCGAGTTTCAAGTTGCTATTTCAATGTTGTTATCGTTGGTGTAAATTACTTTGTCCCCAAGCTTGGTTGGTCAGATAGGTCGTGTGTTTGTTAGCCATTTACATTCCACAAAACAATGACATGGGCATGTCACCGTTCAGAGTTGAGGATATAGATGATAGAAGGAGGTCAGCAAATAAACTATGCGGTGATTTTTCAACTTAACGGTGACATCCTGAGAAGGGTTGTGGGCGTACTGCTGTAAGTCCTACAATTTTTCAAGGGTAGTACGGGGAAACGCAGTCCATCGTACTTCGTGTGTTATTTTGTGAATATGTTCATGTCGTATATACTGAATTGGTACCATTACTCATCTATCTGTTGGTTAATAACATTTGTGTTCATACATTTTTACTCTTGGATGTCAACCTGAGAAGGAATGTAGGTGTACTGGTGTAAGTCTTTCAATTCTTCGAGGGTAGCTCATCAATGGATAATCCACAACATTTGATATATTGATTGTCAATATGTTTGTGTGAAATAATTGAGAGGGCTCCAAATAATGTAAATGTTTGTTAATCTTGTTGTGTCCCGACATTCTTCAACTTACAATCGTCAACCTGAGAAGGGTTGTAGGCGTACTGGTGTGAGTCCTGCAATTCTTCAAAAGAATTACATCAAGATATGATCTGCAAGGTTATGTGCACTGTTTGTATGTACGTGTGGTGTGTCATATCAATTGGTGTTTTTGGATTCATTGTGTGCACTTGTTGCTTTCGTATCTCGTTGTTGTGTATAATTTTGTTAAATTGTTCATCGTGCTTGCTTCTGAAGATGTGTCGTGTCTTCTACATCTGTGAATGATCGATGTTAAAGACAGCAGATGGGTCGTTTACACCGGGGAGGCTAGTGCTGAGGGTGACATGCACACGAACATAATGAATAGCTGTGGTCCCACATGCCGGGGAGCGAGAGTGTCCACGACTGAGGCTTGCATACGTCACCGTTACTAGGACTGAGGCAGAATCGGTGACAAGGTATCTCAGTGGTAATTGATAGTGAGTAGACAAGAGGATGTGCGTGGAGTATCATGAGGTGCTGTTATGGTCACGTTGCGTTCTGTAGGAGTCATTCTAGCAAGTGGCGATTGTGTAGCAAGATGTCAAGAGGGTGCCTTTAACTGGAAGCCGTAGGTCGTCGTCGACGTGTGTGATTGTGATGTGCACAATCCTGTGTTGTCTTTTCTGTTTGTTTTCCATTTCAGCTTTTTCCGTGTGGCCCTATGTTCTCTCACTGGCATCTTAGTCAACGTGTATTAGTCGTGATGGACAAAAGGGATGGATCTGTTTTTGCCGTGGAGTGTAGTTGAAGATTGAACGGTCGATTCATGGTTGTTTTCCCAAACCCAACTGCTGCATATTTTTCGCTGTTGTAATAAATTGGGCTCTCATCGTCTCATCGTTTGCTGTTCGCTGTTAGAGGGAAAACCATCAGAAACGTTGTGTAGAATAACTTAATTGTTGGCTCTCTATTTGTGCAATTATTAAATGTTCCTAAATCACAAATCTGCCTTCTGGTTTTTCGTGTTAGCTATTACGCATAGTTTCTGAATTTCTTCCATGAACAGCGTCAGATCCAGTGTTGTATTACCTGGCATTGAAATTAGTCATTATTCTTTTAGTTTTTTAAGTTTTCTTAAATTTAATTTTTTACATTGAGGGTCTGAACTCACGTTTGATTCTCAGGCTGGCAAAATAATGCATTTATCCGTCTTTCAGATCGGGATGATTCACATTTGTGACCACTAATAAATCTGTTGATCAGCATGCGCCACCCTCCCTCCTTTTTTGATATTTGGCTCTGAGACCTTCCACAATGACACCAGTTATGATACTGCATCGCTTTGACGCCGGCCAAACATAAATTACGCTGTACATTAACGGCTTTTATGACAAGTGCTTCCTATTAGACCACAGGCACACTAACACCGGAGGACATTCTCAGCAGTATTATCATTATGCTAGCGAGCAAGTGGGTTACTACAAAGGACTAAGAAATTAAATTTCCATTAGGAGTTATGAAGTATAAAAATAGACAATGTGAGAGCAAGGAAGCTATATTCTATTTGTCAGAGCGATATAAGTAGTGGAAAAATTAGTGATAAAGTTATGTAAAGTGGTCCTGAGAAAAGTAACTGGTTAGCAGAGCTTGTTAAGCTAAATTTTCACGACCGATTTTCTATGTCGTGCGTTACACGTTGCAAAGTGATTCATCAACTATACAATGCAAAAGTACTACATAGTTTTGCCATAATGAGTTTCAGAATATTATATGATCATGAGTAACTTTTGACTGAAGATAGTCATTTCAACTCAAAAATAGTGCAGTGCATTATACTGATAATTTAAGTATATTTGTTTAATATTAAAAAGATATGGTTGCTTATGTAATTGTTTTTGGAAATAATTATACTGACGGACTTGTTGAAGATTACAGTGAAGAGAAAATCGGTGATTTAGTTAAACGGTTACTGCGCAGTTAGTAGTTAAAACGCCTTTAAAAGTAAACGGCGGAAGAGTTTTGAGTACCGGAGCAAATTAGGTCATAATCTACTGAGTAGACTGTAGTGGATAGTGGTGCGATCAGAGATAAGGATAGGTTGTACGAACTTGAGGAAAATGGTTGGTTGGCTGAGTTTGTCATTGCTAGGTATTCCTGGCCACTTTTCATATGGCATGCTTTAGACATTACAAAGTACCAGTTTGCTTATATTATGGGAGACCTATCACAACTAATTTGGGATTATACATCCAGGAAAATTATAGAGAGTCTTATGAGTTTATAAAGCCGATTGAAGAAATATCGATAGGATCTCTAGCAAGCCGAATAACCGAACCTTAGGTAAAGGCATGTGGGTGAGATTGGTTTGGCTTTATCACGTTATAGATGCGGTACGGCTTCTGAGAAAACGAGCTTCCTCAAATTGGGGGTACTGCACTGGGGTCTGTAGTACTGAAACTAGTAAAGCAGCCCATATTGACATAGTATGGATAAGTAGACCGAAGCTCTCTTGTTGACGGAAACTCGTTGAGGAGACGTCGGAATTCAGTAGGAGATCGGCAACCAAGTACAGTAAGTGGAAGTTCGTTCCATAACGCACTTTGCTGTGTTTTGAAGAAACGTGATCGCAGTTTTGTCCGGTACCGGCTTATGGATAGAGTATTTCCATGATTCCTAAGAGTATATATGGTTGTATTGTTGAAATCTATCGGAATACTGCTTTTGATCTAGCCGTGTAAAAGGCGAAAGAGGAATGCAAGCGCTTTCACCAAAGTGGCTGAATTTCTTATATTTCGCACTAATCAGCGTAAGTCAGTCCTTCACCTTTGTGTAATAGGCGTTGTCAATGCAGTTGAAGATTGAACGATCAATTCATGGTTGTTTGCTCAAACCCAACTTCCCTATATTTTCGCGGAGGCATCAATACGACAGTCATCGTCTCATCGGTCGCTGTTCAGAATGAAGTCAGCAGAAAACCATCAGAAGTAATGTGATTTATTATTGTAATATTTGTTCACAGACCTTAGTGGAATTATATTTTATATGTTGGTGTTACAATAAAGAATTCTAGAGCGGACAATCGGTGTTTTGGTTTTTTCGTCCGTTATTACTGAGCGTTTCTGAAAAACTTCAAGGAACAGCGTGAGCCCGAGCGTAGCAAGAGCTGGGCATTAACGGTTTACGAGACGTGGCTGACAGGCGTCGTGTAAACCTTTGCTGAATATTTTCAATACGAACCCTGTCATACCCATGCATGAAACCGAAGACAATTGTGCAGTATTCAAGTACTGGACGAACCATGACTTTGTATAAAAGGACTTTAGCCTCAGTTGTGAACATTTTTCAATGTAACAAGCTTGTGAGTCTTCGGCATTTAGAAACAAGTTGTCAGCCACGTCTCGTAAACCGTCAATGCTCAACTCTTGCTACACTGAGACTCACGCTGTTCCTTGAAGTTTCTCAGAAACGCTTAATAATAACGGACGCAAAACCAAAACATCGATTGGCTACTCGAGAATTCTTCATTGTAGCATCAACATGGAGGCAGCTTTAAATTAAATTTTAACTAAGGTCTATGAACAAATATTACAATAATAAATCACAATATTACTTCTGACAGTTTTGGCCTGATTTCTTTCTGAACAGCGACCGATGAGACGATGGCTGGTCTATCGAAGTCTCCGCGAAAATATAGGGAAGCTGGGTTTCAGCAAACAACCATGAATTGATCGTTCAATCTTCAACTACATTGACACAAGTACTTTTGCGTAATGACTGAATGCTAAGTTTTGTGAGCAGGTAACTCCCAGTTTCGGATGGGGATTATTGAAATATAGGACACCACATTTATCAGAATTGAATGGCAGTTGCCAGTCATTGCTCCAGTTATGTAACCTATCCAGATCATCTTGAATATGTGTGAATCCATTGTTCAGTGTAGAATGGGAGAATCTTTATACAATCTTTAAGTCGTCAGCAAAGAGGTATGGGGTACCATGCTTGATTACGCTGCAGATGTCGTTAATGCAGATTGCGAAAAGCAGTGGACCTAGCACATTACCCTGAATCACTCCACTTCGTATAGGTCTGGGTGACGAGTATTTATTTGCAAATTTCACAACTTGGGAACGATCTTCCAAGAAAGAAAAGAGCCGGGATAACAAGGGATCTTGGAACCCGTACAACTTTAGCTTAAGGATTAGTCTCTTGTGTGGGACTATAT